TCTTTCTTTGATAGTTGTAGTAAGTTAACTCTCCACTACTTTTTTGGAAGAAATGGCAATTTCCTGTACATGAAATTTGACACAGGACTAACAGGGCAGTGCAAATGGTATTCAGTTGAAGTCGGTGCTTACGTGATAGCGCCGTTATCAGATATTTTTTATCAATGGACCCTTTTCTTAACGGAGATATCATTTGTTGACAATTCTAGATTACAGGCGGTCGAATAAGTTTTGTTGCAAATGACATCGAGCAAGAGGATCCTTCACTGAATCACAAACCTTGCTGGGTACGGTCGTAATCTAATAGTAAGAAATGAACAAAGTTCTAATCTGCTTATCGTATTGCTCTAATGGGTCCCTATCGCTGCACTCACCACTCCCTTTTGTCACCCTGCTCTACCATTCCGTCTTATCGAATGAAACATACTGAACTGTCAAAGCTACTACATCGTAGATACCGGAGACGCCAGGATTCCGATAGGTAGGTGGCACTCTTAGGCCCTTTATCTTCTCTTATCAGTTATCATCAGTTCCTTTCACCGAGTACCTACGTTCCCGTCATATCCTGCATCACCTATTAGAAAGCTGAGGTTCCACTGGTAATACGAAAAGTGTGATCCTACCAAATTTGAACGCTCTAGGTCCACGTAAACAGGAGTTACGAATTCGTGGCCAATTCCCTGTGGGTGGAGTCTGCTCCTATCACCTGTCATAAGTGTTCCCATACTGCCCCCTGTACTCCTCCAAATTGAGTTTTCTAGGTCCACGGGAACAAGAGTTATGAATTTGCGGCTCAAAATTTCTATCGCGCACGCCCCGCTCTCTGTGCATGGAGTTCGGTCCTGCTAAATACCATAGGTGTTCCCATCCTGCCCCTCTCACTCCTGCCAAGTTTGAACGCTCTAGGTCCACGGAGACAGGAGTTATGAATTTCCGGTCCGACACATACACCGACACATACACACAAACACACCGACACACCAACAGACACCCTTAGCGAATTATATAAAGTAGGATAGCAACACCCACGGAACCTCTGAGTTTAAACTCCTGCTTCAGTCTCTACAATGAGTTATAAGCTCTTAGAAGAAACTCTCACGAAAAAGGCTCGCTGCTCAGAAGCGTGAAGGTGTTAGAGGTCATGAAGTTGGAGTATTAATCAAAATCAACTCTCCCGTTGAAGGTTTTATTACGACCTTCTATGACCGCGAACGCACTGAGGCCCCGAAATGATGGTTGTGTTATGTTTATGGAATGGCTATTATTTCGAAAATCCTGAAAGAGAAAAAGCGTATCGAAAACGGCTTGAAAAAAACTTGTGAGGAATGCGTTTATGAGCGGAAACAACGATGCGCTAAACCATATGAGTACTACCTTGAGATTTTTCCTTTTCTGTAAAGTATATGAGTACTACCTTGAGATTTTTCCTTTTCTGTATATTCGTTGCATTCTCACGTTGCATGGCTAGAGATCCAACCACATCTCGACCATCTTAAGATTAGAATGTCTGGTAAGAGTATTCGGTTGTTATGAATAAGTTTGATGACCATTTTGATTCTAAAACTGTGGCGTACCAATCTGAAGACCATTTTCAGCAGCCTCCAAACACGCCTTCGCTTCTTCCGGTTTTGAGAAATGAACAAATGCAGTTCCTTCAAAAATGAACTTTTAATTAGAGTGTGAATGATGGAGGACCAAAAATTTTTCAGAAGTACTGTGATCACTGCTCACTCAGATCCAGCCGGAGTGGGCTAGATACAGGAGATTCAAAAACCGCTTAACAATGGATAGAAAGTCATTACGTCTACAGAAGGCACGGCAAAAAAACCAAACACGAAAACTACAACGAATACATCACGCATACCCTTCACCCACATAGATCGGATACACTAATAACCAGAAAAGGGTCGCAAGTAGAAAAGCGATGGAATGTTCGAAACGTATCCTTTTTCATACATTGTGTGTACTGGATCAAAAAAAAAAAAAAAGAATTAGCTCAAGAGAAATTTTTTACAATAAAATCATCTAGATCCTCTCAGATGCACTTCCTTTTTGAAGGCTTACATAATGTAAACTAGAATTAAATAGAAATATCACTTGGGATTTATACACCACCAGCCGGCTACGCAACGCTATTGCGTGCGCTAGGGGCTCTAGCCATGAGGAACGGAGCCACATGGCTTCTGATACTCATGATAGACCCTTATCATTTGAGCCTCTTCCAGGACACTTCTGTAGCGGCCATCATTTTTTTGGGATGTGAAAAGGGGTTGTGTGTGGCCATGAAGAGTACTCCGATGTATCCAAATATACCTCTGCAGTC